CCCGGCCTGGGAATTGAATTCTGGACCTCCCGGTCCTGAAGTGAGCGGCGTACCACTGCACCACAGGATCGGTAACAATAGAGATAGCAGAGCGGTTGCATTTAGTATATATCAAAATTGCGTAAAATTTTAATATATATTGCAGGGCTTAAGATTTGTGCGTTTGTTAACGCAGGTTCCTAGCGTCAAAGATTCCTCTGTGCAAAGCTCGCGGTGATCCAGATGCTGAATGCCAATAAAACTTGTTAACACCCAATTCTATGGATTTGAATCGGGACATATTTACGGTCGCATACACCGTCAATGATAAATAACTCTTTTTATCGCATTTGTATCTGCCCGTTTTGTGCTTGGAAAGCCACAGATTGATGGCGTATTGCTCATGCGTATAAATATGCTCAACATTGCTACCATCCTAGCAGAGACGCTGTAATAGCCTAGTGATTATACAACAATCAACGATCTCATTGGAAAGCGTCACGCACTCATTCATCTGATTCGTGACACGATAGCCGATGCTGTAGATCTGCAAAAAAGCGCGAATACTCGGTGAATATTAAAACCAATCAAGTTCAATATGGTTGACCATGTCTTGCTGACCACTTTGAATTTGCCAAAGCTTTGATTTGTCATTTCGGTTTACATATGTGAAAATTAAGTTTCAACAGCTCACTTAAGTCTTTGAAATGTATCGGTGATGCCTATACTATCGTTTCATGTTTCCATGCCGGATTTAACGTTGACAATTGAAGCCTAACGTGTCCTTAAGGATAAACTGTCTTCTGCTTTTCATTCTGGCGTTGATGCTTCCAATTTGTGTTATTGGCTTCGGTAACACGCTGAGGCCGCTATTCCACAAATCAGCCTTGATGGTATTGTGGTGGTAGTAGTCGTTTTATTCTGAGGCTTGTGCTGGTGTGTTCATGGTTTGCTGCTTCTGAAGGGGGTGAGAAAATGTTGGGGGATGTGTCATTTATCGCTAAATGCTTTAGTGTCAGTGTCAAAAGGCTAAGGAAACATTGCCACTATCTGTTCGACTATCGGGTTAAAGTCTAGAAGATATATATGCACTGTGCTTGCTTGGTTCGGCATAATGTCTTTTTAGACTCATGTCATTTCTTTATAGGAAGTTAATGCATGCGGGTTGGCTTGCCCAGTACAGGTGGTTTGCCCGTGGGTATGAGAGTCAAAGTCAGTAGTTATCTATGCACGCTGGTGCCCTGCGAAAGAAATTTGCTTTTAATTATCTGTTTGCACTGTTATGACTAATTTTTAAGGCTTGCAGATATATAATATCGTTGAAAAAAACTGTGTGCTAGTCCGAGCAAAACCATGCACTTCCGTGAACTGTACGGCAGCATGCCCGAATTCGTACGTCACTTTGCCCTCTTCATAATCGGCTGGAGGTAGACGGTAATCCTCCAGTGATTGTTAAGCAACAGTCATTAATGTGAGCTTGTAATTTTGGAATATGTGCATGTCTTTTGGTAGTCTCACATTTGCTGTAATTACAAGTTTTATGCGAGACTAAATTTAAGCTTTTAGTACGGTATACAGTATAGAAACGTATTTAATTAACAGGTTTTTAATCCCATGCGTCCAAAATCTCCCTACGCCGTTTTACCAAATCAGCATCATTGCGATTTAACGCTTCACAAACGATACCCGGAAAATTGTTTTCCATTAATTGTTTCAAACGTGGCAGGCTTTCTTTGTGTGGAGCATACGTGCCACTATTGTTGTCAATCACTAGTTTGCGTGTGCCGTTCTTCGTTTTTTCAATACGAAATTCACCCGCGTACTTGACCGATTCGGCAGCATTTGAGTGGACCATGTGCTTTGATAGCATATCTTTAAAGAAACCGGCGCCTGTTTCCGAAAAGAACCAGCCGTTTGATGTGATTGCGTAGGTAAAAAGCACAGGCTTTTCATCACGCATTCCATTGTGGAGAAGGTGAAAGAAGTCACCAGGAGCCCTAATCGTGCCATATTTCGTGCTTTTCTGGTTGTGCTCATACACCAAAGCGTGTTGTGTTTTGACCAGTTGACGTAGAATAGGTGCCTCTGCATGATCCGGTGAGAATACCCGCTGAATTTTTTGGTAATGCTTGTTCCAGTGATAGTCGATAGGCATGTATAGAGCGATGTTATGTAGTTGAACAATGTAGGCTAACGACTTGATATTCTCATCTTCAGACGTCAACTTCTTAAACACGCCTGCTGAATAGCTGGAATGTACCGAGTAGCGAACAGGACCGACTTCCTCTACAACTGCATCGTCATCGGCATAGACCTGAGTGAAATTGACCTACAATATATTTATCATTAGCACAAAAAGCTGAACATAAACATTCATGCCCACCTTGATGCTCATGATGCCAGCATTGCGATCGTCTTGTGTAATTGGTAGATCGAACTCAGTGTCCACATCATAGATAACACTAAGAGTGCTGAAGTGCGCCTCTCCAAGTTCGTCCTCCCCGATCATGTCGGCGTCAAACAAGGCAAATTTGAAGTGTGAGTCTTTCGGAACGTTTTTAAAGTAGAACTTTTCGTTCCATTTGGGATTGAGAGTACTAAAGGCTGGACGTGTCCAGGCCATTGACTCGCCGTCAACCTTAATCACGGTAAACGCATCACTTGTTGAGAGGTGGCCCTGAAAAGCTGCTTTGATATCCAGGTAGTCACCAGCCTTAATACCCTATCAATGGAAACATATTATTGTTAGCAACGTCTACGTATAGAAAACCATAGTTAAGCTCTAACCTGTGCAGACACAATTTCGAGATTCACGTCGAATGAAGCACCGACAGGCGTGCCATGTAGTGGATAAGATAAAGACATCTTTGTGTGTGTGTTCTGCACCAAGCAATGTAAATCCAACAATAAGGCATCTTCTAAGAAGTTTTGGTCCAGTAGTTGCAGACAGTCCAAACAAAACAGCAGGATGTTTGCAAATATGACATACAGTGCTGTCTGCACTAAATGTCGTAATCGACAGGCGCAGATACGAATATGATCGAATCCATGAGAGCTAGTTGGTTCATTTATGATTTAACGACCCATCCCAGGTAAAGGTAGTCCCCACATCTCGTGAATTTCTGAGCTTGACAATCATGTTCTAATGAATGGGTCAATACGATAGCACCAAAGCGTGCCCAGTTCTTTTTCCACCATCGATGTGTCATCCAAACACTGAAAGGCATTGTTTAGCCTTTATTCATACAGTAGCCTGTCTGTTTAATAAAAGAACTGTACATTGTGTCGTAAAAGCTACATTTTTATGATCTTCATATACATTTGACATTAGTATTGCCTCGTTCTCACGACTGCCGTTTTGTTTTTTTAAACTCTGTTTCTTCTGATAACAAAGCCTGTTCGACTATATATTAAATGTAGTATTTCTCAACTACTGTATGTACACTTTGCAATCCTGTACCCATATGGACATGATTGGACGATCTTGCTTCTAGGTATTGTACCTTGCAGCTTGCGTCAGCTGCTCAAAAAGTAAGCCGGAGAAACATGAGTGTGGAATGATGGATTGTGCTGAAGTTGCTTCGGAAATAAGCTTGGCTTTGTGTTCGATTCTGCCCAAAATTCTCGATGATGAGCATAAATGGCAAAGTGATGTTTCTGGCTTTTCTTACAAATTTAATTAGAAGACAACCAAATATAAACGTAAGCGACGTCTTACAATAACAACTGTTCAAAAATTGCAATATTTTCCAATGAAGTTTAACCGTTACATCAGGAAGAGTAGTATGCCGATAAATGCTCAAATATATTGATCAAGCTCTTTCCTCAAATTATTTTTTATTGTGATAAAATACCGGCTACTAAAATTCTGGTAATTAAATGTTTTTATGCGAATTAATTTTCCGATGAAAACTCTAATTTCCGATACTGCTATACCATATAACGTTAAATGAACCCATTGCATTTACTTCGAACGATCGTTAGATAGATTGAATTTAAATTAGTCTTGCCAATCGGCACCATACTTGATCGTTTTGTACATTTATGGCAACTTATATCGGATAATCCTTTCAAATCGCTTAAGTGCACTTGGCTTGTATTTGGATCGGATACACCTACTGTCCCTCGGCGTACCGACTTTCATTTAATTTCTAAACAAAGCGATACACCCTTCTAAAGAGTTAATTACAACTTTGTAGTTTCCTCTCACTATTCTCAGTGTCGGACGCTTTATTTGCATAGAGTGTTTGACCTACGGTATGGTTCGTCTTATTCTTAGTTTCTACCACAAAGTCTGCCCCGATCCGCCGAGTTTGCTGCTTCTGGGGTTTATTTTAGTCTGATGGTTAGATGGGATAGCTTCTATCATCTTGATGAAGCCCGCACTATGTTTGAGGGGTTCCAGGACATCATGCGTCCAAGCAGACTTTCCGTCGGTTGCTTTGCCTGTCCATCTCACGGAACAACTCGAGGTAGCCCAGCAGCAGCTAAAAAACGAGCTACGCGCAACACCCCATGAGCGGAAAAAATGTGTTGAGTGCCTTTCCAGCGTATGAAATGTCTCAAGCGTGAGAATCAACTCACGGGCAGCAAAACCTTTGCACTATAAGCCTGTAAGCGCGGTCTGTATGACAAACAAACTTTTAAGATTGACCTCAAAAGAACAAATAAATCACGCCACTAATATTGAAGTCAAATTGCCGTGCACCTCGCACAAAGAAAGCTTCGTGACTCTCAGAATACATAAAAACGAAAAAATGATGAAGTATTTACTTTATTATGATGTTCTTAATCATCATACTATTGTCCCTTGGACATAAACGACTTGGACAAAACAATGAAGAGTACCTCGAGAAGAAGAATGAATGATACTTGGTGGGTATGAATGAGAAGAGTCTTTGGTCAAAACCGAAGCTTTGGCGTTTCTGATCCCGTTACACATGGTTTGTTTTGTCATGGAGATCGTCTTCGAAAAAGAGACCTCAATGAGCGCCCTCTTAACCTGGAGATCTTTTTTCTTACTCCACGCGTACCTTACAGTACCCGCTCTCATGAGCATAGTTGCACCGTAAGAGCGCTCCATTACGTACTCCCGTATAGATCAACAAGCTCTTGGGGAAGGTGTGGTCATCACGGCACAGCAAGATTTACTGCGACTGTCAGTTATGCATGGTGTAATACTACATTTTCTGCATGTTGTAAGGCCGGCAGCCCACAGGTTCCATGGACATATTCGTTGCGTAGTCCAATCGGCCGACAACCTTAAAGCCGCACTTGGCGCCGCAGCCGAAGTATCTTTCGATGAGAGCGGGCACAGTGACTCTTCAAGCTCCAACCAGACACCGCCGTCCTCGGCGAAAGGCGTAGAGCAGAACTATTACCTACGTCCACAAAGTCGAGGCATTCTTACCTCACCACCTCATCGCTGCACGGGCTGCACACATTGTGAAGAATCCCTCAGCGGAGTATGTTACGCTACTCCGCCGTGCAATTCGCGACAAATCTATATATATTGCATTCGAGACTAAATACAGCAATGAAGTACTAAATAACATGAAAGGTTATCGGCTCTGCTCCTAATGAGCAAACTAGCTCGATTTCTGCACATTGTTACTTAGATCGATTGAAATCAAAGATTTATCTGTGTATGGTGCGCAGAAATTACTACACTTAATAGAACTCTTCTTAACCCCACAACCAGCGGTATAATCTGTGATGACGGAACACGATATGTTTGGTAATCGATCCTCGGGACAGATTTTGAGCTCATCGTTGGTCTAAAACGAGTGAGGGAAATGACGGCCCGAGGGCCGAAACTTCTCGCCGATCACCTTACCAAAGCGCTAAATAGACAGCTTTAGGTCGGACGCCGGTACAAGGTAAGATAGCGCCCACCGCGAGGCCACTGATAATGCGAGTTTGGCCTTCGAAGGGAGCGACAGAGAAAACATTTAGATTTGGCGAGGGAAGCTGAGATGGCCATAAATTCGACCATGCTTCAGCAACCGCGCACTGCACTTGTAGTGTCCAAACTATTAAATTGCACTTAAGAATGGGTGCTAGCTTAAATAACCTCGCTAAAAGAAGCACTCCGCATGGGATCAGCCTAAGTATGATGTAGCCGACACGCCATAAAGTATGGATAGACAGTTTGTCAATAAAGTAAGATGCAACGCACCTTTTTTGTTTGTGGAGCTTTGGCGAGTCGCAAATCACCGCTTTCGGAAGGAAATAGTGTAGCCCGCAAAGCTACGATGGCTTCTGTGCAGAACATGATATTGTCCAAATTGTATGACATTAATAGTGTCAGGGATCTGAAGCAGATTTATTTAAAAGCGGTAATTAGCCGCTGTATTTGGATTAGACAGACTGAAGCGATCGTATATGGCGGATCTTACCGCAAATATTGGCCTAGACACAGGGAGGCGACAGTAGGTCGTGGCACGCAGAGGCGGGCGCTGGCGGAACGGTGAGAAGTAGGTGTGAGCTGCGTCCTTGTTTCAGAAAGGGTATTATTGGAGCTGTAAGTCGCAAGGAGATGGTTCAGATCTTTAAATTTTGAGAATTGCTCTTCCGCTGTGATGAAGAAACTGTCGAGTTAGTTTTTGAGTGTAACATGCCCACCATGAGAAACCGTGAATTTTCGTGGGTGGCGGCGAGATAGAGTATTACTCGTGACAGAAGTGACCTGTGCCATTCTTGAGTTTGTAAGTCTCGCTTTACCATCCCCGACCAAAGCCCGCATTGATCCAGAGAAGGTTTAGATAGACGGCTATTTTAAGCGATCCGAATTCTATTTATCCCATGGTGAAAACCTTAAAAACGTGTGGTGACACGAAATTCACGACGCATGGCAGGCAACTCAGAGAAGCATCGCGATGTTACCGCGTAAGTACTTCGGAGACGTTAGGAAATTACGCCATTCAAATAAAGCAGTTTGTCTGATCATGTATCTGCAAGATGTCTGCGCATATATCCGATTTGGTTCCTAGCAAGTTAAACAAAGCTCACCACAAATTTGCTGTAAGACGCAGATCTCATTCCGACTGAGTGAGCCATGTTAGCAAAATTTTCATGTCGGAAAACGGTGTTCAGTATCCGAACTGATTGCGGTATCGCTGAAATCAGCCAAATAATGTATATTGCACGGACAAACAACAAAGTTCACAATGCCGGTATTGGTGGACGCGTCTTTTGGATAACCGAAGCAGAACAAGCTGCCAGCACTATGCTTGTACCAGCAGGCTGGCCGAAAAAGCACATGGTCCGTTTACATAATACACACAACGCACATCCATGTGCTCACCCATTTGTATATACTGACGTCGCTGTGCACTAAGCCAATGATCTGTACAGACTTAGGGCGAATCTGGTACACCCTGGTCTTTGTGACGGGCGTTGCATTGCAAGTAGCTGCTTGAGCTGCTTTTAAAAGGATAATTTGATATTTAAGCTGATTAAGCTAACTCATGTAAGATTCAAGCTAACGAGAATCAAACGCAATCTCGTCTTCATCCCCGTTGACATATGCTTTGAGTAAAGTGCAGTTTATTTTAATGGCTGAATTGTCACAGACAGCATGAAATGAGCGATATAAATTTGGAATAAACTTATTAGGGGCACCCATAACGCTTAAATCGTTACAGGCCGCCTGCAACCAGTTTATGTGACTTTTGTCTCAAAAAGATATATGGGATATTCTCCCACGATGATGCTTTTTGCACTGTACTAAGTTTTAAAGGTAAACAGGTTAAGCCTCTTTCTCATGTATCTTAAAAACGGAGGCACTGGTCAATCTATAATAATCTTTATCGTTGTGACATCCACCCCAAATCGTGCTTTACAAGTAAACACTTGATAGAGAGACGTTTGCTAGTGCCCCAGCTAAACTTGTTGTATTGGCAAACAGCATTCGCACTCGAGCACCGCCTGCGAGTGTTCTATATGTTTCGCACGACTATGAAAGAACAAGTTGTGAAAGTAGGTATATACCTAGCCATGATGTGGCCCGAACGGCGGTGTCGCCAGACCATTGATCAGATCTATCGCGCTAGGCAGTTTCTGTGGGAAACTCATCCATTATCGGAACGCATTACGCCGTAGTGATAGGGGTATCACTGCCTTAACTTTGTAGCTAATTTCATCACTCGACCAGGCCAGGAACATTATGCAAAGCGCAGTCGAGCATGCTACTGAGCTGCACATTTTCGCCAATAAGCACTGTTTGCGCTGAAAACGTTCTGTATTATTGTAAGCCAACACAGTTCGTCTTTTGTCGTTTCCCTTCTTAAACCGCGCCGAGTGTGAAGATGAACTTTTCTCACCAACCTCGCTTTGCGCTCGACGAGGGAAGAAAGCGTCAATGACGTCACACAGATCCCGCATTGCCATGTGCGCAATATTTGATTTAGAAACCAATATGATTTTGATGCACTCATTCATCTGAACTAAACACGCGTAGGGTGTCTAATCGCCGCTTCGTGGTATTCCTTCAGCAACGTATAGGAGGAATCCTTAATGGTAGCTGTTCCACTCCTTACAGTCAGTGCTTAGCGATTGTTTTCAATGACGGAATCATTAATGGCAATGACCCTACTACTGATATAAATCGTATAACTTCTGTAACGTATTGCAATCTGTTGCACATGTCCCCGAGAGATATTTTTTCCACCCATATCATGGTTACTCATCGGAGGAAGTGAGGTAGTTTTATGACCCCTAGGTTTATCCCGGCCACTTTGATCCCAAACAAATATTTTTGGCAAATTAACTGACCCGTTAAAAGGTGATACTGGCTTAGTTGTACCTTATATCGTAACAAGGATAAACCATCCGTTGTAATTTCAGGGCTTGACATTTTACTTGTAGCTTGCAGTCACCCTTCAACTCCACCAGGTTTAGCCGGAATTCTATGACAACGAGTCACTTTTCATCTTCATTGCTCTGACGCAGGAGACTGTAGCTCAAGGTCTTTTTACCACCCCGCTGAAGTTGCACTATAGGGTCCATGGCATACGATTGTCCATTCCAAAATATAAGCGATAGACTGTAAATGCCGCTATTTACATTATCTTGTACCGCCTTATCCCAAGACATCGGATCACTGTTGCTTTTGCCATCGAAGCTCCACACGAGGTGCCTGGCGCTGCCATTGCTATTAATTTTGGACATTTCTACGCTCTCCATGATGGTCTTTGCAGCTTCAAACCAGCAGCAAAAGCTATCTGCAGCGGGGTTGACGTAGCGCTTTGATTAGAGGAAGCATACTTACGGTCACCCCCCCCC